TCCCTCCTGAAAAGTCGTATCCCATTTTTGACGGCGACAAGTACACGATCAGTTCACAAACCGCATCTTTAATCAAAGAGAATGGAAACCGAACCAATGGAAATGCGAGTTTTGTGTGTTCTCGTTACTAAGTGATCGTACGAGGCGGTTGTCCTGTTTTGGTAACTCCATTTACTCCTAATCGGTTTACTCCTAGATAACTGGGGCGTAGTCAGATCATTAAAAATAAACCGGTCTTCGTTGTACCTCCCGTTCAGTATATAGATTGTGAAATTTATTCTGAACTTGGAGATTATAATTATACTTTTTATTCAGATTTTTTAAAGTGTTCCTCAACAAGATTTCGGGACTTCATTTGTCATTGTTTTATTGAGCCTCTAGACAGTTGCAATGAAAATGACAGAAGACCTTTCCCGACTGGTACTGAAGAAGATTGTCTGTTGTTTGATTTTGCCTACATACTTCTTTTTGGATCATTATTATTTAGCTACATGCGCGCACAAACACATCGTGAATTTGGATTTTCCCAACTCTTTCAAAAACATTCCTCGTCACTTCTATTTATCAATTTTTTCGCTTCTTTGTTTTATCGTTGTCTACAAATTTATATTTTTCTGAGTCCATTCCGAACCCATTCGTGGAGAGTATAATCCGATAGCTTTATAAGCCGTCTAACAAGAATTTTCTTTCCCTACAAGGCATGATAATCAATGACGGATGAGGCTTCGGCTTTGGTCTGTTCTTGTTCAACGTCTTTTCATTTGCCATCTCTTTTCGACGTTCTCTTCTTATCTGAAGGACGACTATTCCAGTGAGCCGAGGAAGCAAAAACATGAATATTGAATTCCCGTTCTAAATTTTCTGTTTGATGAATTGTTCCGACTCGATCCGTTCACCTTAAACATTGCGTTTCCACTTGACTGGAATTGCGAACCTACTCTGTTTTAATCAGATTAGGTTTTTGCCCTACTTCATGATGCGTGACAAAAAAGCTGTGTATTATTCAATTTTTTTCTCTAATCTGTCATTCTATAACTTCCTTTCTGCTCAATCTCCGGTAACTAATACATGGTGGTTATCATCCAGTTTAAGATGAGTACAACATCGCTGAAATCGTTGTACAAGACCACTATTAAAAGGTCGTGTTCGATCGTATTCTTGCTTGCTTTCCTATCATGCATTCTTGTTCACACCCTTATGTTACAATACTGTTTGCTTTCCGTTTGAATTGCTCCGGGGCGAATAGTTCAATGTTCTTTAATTAGCTCTTCTCTTGCATACTTCAATGTCCTGTTTGTTGTTTGTGTGTATGCTGATGAACTTTTTGCGGGCTTAACTAATCTCTCCGTTTGTCCATTCGGTCATATACTAAATCATTCGACTGGCTTCTAAGTGGTGGATCAAATCGTTTCCATAGTTCCGATCGTTTTGGGTTTACTGTGAATTCAACTCATTCACACTCACGGGGATTCATTTATTCTACCGTCCCCTTCCCGAAACATTCACATACAGTTTAACTGAAGTTTAGATACAACTTGAACTTGATTTTTATTCTTTCTTTCTCATTTCAAGGCACCATGGTCAATATCGATTCATCGTACCCAATGCACTGTGAAATAGACGTGGTATTTTTTATTACACCCATTTTGTATGATGAACAGCAGGCGGGGTGAACCCCATAAGTAAAAAACCTGCTTTTTAGTGGTAGAAACCGGCAGTCTAAGCCCTGAGACTTGGAGTGGCGAATCACATAGGTCCCCGCTAGGTTAGGAGTGGTATTGAGCCGGACGATGGCGAAGCTGCCTGCCACCAAAGTTGGGTGATGGTGGTGGGGTTCAACCTGCCAACCATGGGGTCCAAAGCACGCCGGTGACAGCGACTAAACCTCTGCCCCGCCATCNCCCGCCATCAACATCATAGAGACAGCAACACGTACCCTCCTTGTTCACGCTCATTTTGTTTGTCTTACATTGTTTTCTTTTCAAATGTAATATCTTTGTCGAATCTCTTTGATGCATTCCTTTAATTCTTTTCATTGGAATAATCTGTTCTCTCTCAGAATGCTTCTTTTCTTAGCATTAAGCTTAAGCTGATTTGCCTTTTCCATCTGTCTATTCATCACTCATCCGTTATTATATATTGAGCGCAGTGATGTAAATACGGCCAATGAAATTTTTCTGCCTAATATTCATTCAGTTCAATATGATCGGGGGGAGGGGATCGTGCGAACTTATAGCGCTAAAAGTTAATTATATTCGTAACCATACTATGGTGGCATCCAATGTGTCGGTTAGCACGTGACTTTGTTAGTCTACTCTAAACGCGAGCACTCGCACGGGTCATTCAGATACTATCCTTTCTTGGTTGAAAACCCGGTTGTTTTACTCTCATCACTGAATAATACAGTCATCCCTGTGACTCTTTCCTATTATGCGGCTGAAATTTCTTGTTTTCACCATTCAAGTGTGACCGTTTCGTGTCACTTTTTATTAACCTTCAAATTCTACAGTCTTCCTATACCATCTCAGGCAGTCGGGCTTACGTCAGCAAGGTAACCGTCTACCCATTCCAATCTCATCCATCAGCTCACATGGGTGGTGAACAAGGATTGGTTGAGCTAACAGCTGTGGTGATACTGAGGCAAAAGAGAGCACTCTCTTGTCTCTGTTTGTCCTCCACACGAAACATCCACCTGCCACTTCACCACCCTCACGATATCGTCTATCTCCCGTTTCCTGTGTGATCGAACTTCTGGTGCATGTTAGTGTGTATGTGGGTTTGCCCGTGCTCGCCTTGTCCCTCAATTCTACAGTGTGTCCGCGTGCCTGTATTCACTCGGTCGATTGGTCGTTTGTGCACATCTCATTCCGTGTTCTAACGGGGTTCCCACTCATCATGTGCACGAAGCATGTGCGTAGCATGGCCTGATTTTGCGGAATACGCGTCTACGTGCTCTCGCGAATATCAATAAGAGCATGCACATTAGACGCCACAATAATCCAATGCCTTGACACCAATAGAATGAGAAAAATTAACTTCTTGGCAGAATTTGTTGGTATGAGGTTGTAAAGTGACATTTGCCCTTCGGTCATAGCCACATCAAACCTCAAACGTCATCAAACATTGTGTCC